TAGTTATTGGGAGATGGAGTCTCATAGAACCCGGACCAAGGCTAACTTCTGCTAGGCTAACTGACCAGCCAGCCCCAGGGACCCTCCTGTCTCCCCCACCACCCCCCAGGCATACACTGCTAGGCCCAACCTTGCTGTGGAGGCCAGGGATCCAAACCAGGCCCCCAAGCTTGGCCATCAAGCACTTCACAAACTGACCCCTCTCTCTAGCCCCAAAGAAACAGGCTGGACTCCACTCAGCCTAGGAGATAGCCTCAGGCTCAAACACACCCATACTGTCCCCAGAATGTCGTCTTTCGGAAAGGAAAAACGACTGTCCTGGGGGGGCAGACAGGATTCTTGGTAGGACATCTCCCCCATGTTTTTTTGTGTTTAGGATTACACAAGACAAGCACCTTGGAGAGGGATAAATAATATTTCTCTCAGCAGGCCTATAACAGCCTTTGGTTCCCAGGCTAGACCACTGCTGAGCTCCAGCACCCATTGGCTTTGCTGAACACAGGTTATAAGGACCTGAGTTCAGTTGCCAGTTCCCATATGGCAGCTCACAACTGTCTCCAGTTTCAGGGGATCCAGTGAACTCTTCTGGCCTCTGTGGACACTGGGCAAGACCATGGTACACAGACAGACAGACATGCAGGCAAAGCATTCGTACACAAACAATTAAAATTAAAAAATAAAAATAAATCTCAAAACGTTGGAACCTGGCCTTGTCAGATACAGTCTTGGCCATCTACACCTTTCCAAGATTCTCCACCTACTGGAGGCAAAGACAGGGCCGCTTCCCTCTGAAAGGCCCGGCTGGGTCTCCCACTCCAGGGGGCCGGTAGGTTTGCCTCTCTGACTCCTCTGAAGGGGAAATAGCTACTGCCCCCCTCCTTCCCACCAGATTCGATTCCCCTCCTCAAACAGGAACAGGGTATCACTTTCTTTTGCGGGGGAAGGGGCTGGTATTTCTCTGCATAGCCCTGTCCTGGAACTCTGTAGACCAGGCTGGCCTCCGTTTGCCTCCGGAGTGCACCCTCACCTCCCCGCTCTGTGTTCATTTTCAAGCCCAGATTCTGGATGCCTGCCTGGGCAGCACCTGAAGCTGTTTCCACATTGGAGACCGAAGTGTAGCCTCAGAGGCTATCCCTTCTCCAGCTCACTGGGTGCCTTAGGCAGCAGAAAGTGGCCAACAGTGTCTCTCCCCACACCTGAAGCTGTGGTGTGCTGGCTGATACGCCAAAGCCAAGCATGCTGATATGTACTATAAACCCGGCAAGAGGAGGATGAGGACGTCATGGACTATAAAGGTTGTCTAAAAAAAAAAAAAAAAAGCTTGAGCAATCCACACCTCCCATAACCTCCCTGAGGCACCGGCTGGAGTTTGGAGTCTGTGCCTGGCAGGGCACCCTGCAGACTGCAGATCTCAAAAGGCACCCCCTTCCAGACCAGCTGATGGAGACAGCCCTTCTCTGAAGACCCACCAGGGTCTTGGCTGCACATCCAATCATCATGGGTGCAGGAGGTCTGACTCTGAAAGTCCCCTCCAGGTTTGTGTCTTGAATGCCTGCTCCCCTGGCTTGTGAAGTTTCAGGGGGAAGTTTGAGAGTCCCTTAAACACTCTTATTGGGGCCACTCCATCTATTGAATGTGTGATTTAAGAATGTGTGCTTCTGGTGAGCCGGGGCAGAAGACTCAGCCATGATTAACGAGAAATCAGCACCACTGTGGATTGTAAATTTGGATTATTTCCTCAAGTCAGCACACAGAAGCTATCTACAGGCAGCTAAGGCTGCATCTCATGCTGGCAGCCAAACTTGGTAACGTGTCAGACTTTCCCAGGTGGTACTGGTTCTCAAGCATGAAAGGGTCATGGAGAACAGCTGAGGCTTGGCACCATGTGGCAGGGTCCGGCTCCCTCCATAGAGCCTGGGAGAGGCTATTGGAGGTGCAACCCTGCAGTAAGGACATGACATCTTGGAGACGCCAGTACCGTGGAACCACCACCACCACCACGGACAGCAGCAGCTGCGGCGTGGAGCTGGTCAGGGCCTAGGAGACAAGCTGTCGCCTGTCACAGAGGGCAGAGCTGACGAGCGCCCTGGGTCCTTTGGAGCCCAGAGGCTGGTGAGTGGGTCCCCAGAGGTCGAGCACTGAACTCTTCATGCTTTGGTTTTGCTTTGATTTCATCACAACTGTGCTCTGGCTCTACCCTCTTGGGAGTGAGAAAGTATTTAACTTGTTTTGATTTTACAGGGGCCCACAGAGTTTTATAGACTTTGGAATTTTACAGACACTTTGGAAATTTTAGAGGTTTTGGGTATTTTAGAGAGGCTTTGAACTTTGAAGGAGGCTTTGAGTGCTTTTTTGTCTTGTTTTTCTAATTTTTAAAGGCTCTTATTGTTTTGTGTGTACAAGTGTTTTGCCTGCAAGTATGGTTGTGTACCACATGCATGTCTGGTGTCCAGAGGTCAGAAGAGGGCATTGGATCCCCTGGGACTGGAGTCAAGAGATGGTTGTGAGTCAACACATGGATGCTGGGAATTGACTCCAACTCCTCTGTGAAAATAAACGCCCTTGACTCCTGGCTGAGCTACATCTCAGCTCAACTTTGTATGTTTTAGAGACCTAGCCTTTGAATCTTTAACGGATGTGGGACTTATAAAAAAGTTGGAATGTTTTATATTACGGTATTAACATGCCATCTTGGGGACAAATGAGAAAGGGAAGGTTCTAGTTGAATAGTGATGTGCTTGTGTGTCAGGTTGACAAGGGGTCAGTTACGCTAGCTAGTTTTGTCAACTTGACACAAGTGAGTGTTATTTGGGAAGGGAGACACTCAGCTGAGAAAAATGACGCTGTAAGATTGGCCTGTAGGCAAGTATGGGGGCATTTTCTTGATTGGTGATTGATGGGGAAAGGGCCAGCCCACCAAGGGTGTTGCCATGGCTGGGCAGCTGGTCCTAGGGTGTATAACAAACTGAGCAGGGCAGTAAGCAACACTCCTCACCATATCCAGCCAGTTATGTACATATACAATATTGTATATTAAAGGCAAAAGTCAGAAGCAACTGTATTCTACCTCTTTCTAAGGTTTATTTTTAAGTATACTTGTGTGTCTGTGTACCACTATGCACACATGTGTAGGTGCCCTCGAAGGCCAGACAAGTACATCAGATTGCCTGGAATGGAGCCACCCAATGTGACTAGACACACACTCCTAACTGCTGTGCCCCAGCTACAGCCTATTTTTTTTAATGTTTCTTACTCAATATCCTTCTTAAATGACTACAGGAATGTGACCAGTAACTGTGGGGCCAATTCTCACCCCCTAGTCTTCGATTTATATCCCATTGGTGTTTAGGGGCAGAGCTCTCAGGTGAAAAGTGTGAGTGAGAAGCTATGCATGCTAAGTCTGGCCCCGCAGTGGACCTACCTTCAAGAAAGGGGCTGTCTTTGTGCACCATGACCTCTAGCAGTGGGGTAGAGGACTCACCTTTCCAGTGTTCTTTAGAGGGCGCAGTCTAACCCGAGCAACAAATATGCCCCCCCCCTCCCGCCCCACCAAATGAAAACTGCCATTGACCAAGACTCATGTCCACGAGCCAGTGACAACTTCAGGATTCCTGACTATGCTGGAAGGAAGAAGGGCCGCTTAGAGTTAACAGCTGAAGACCCAGCAGCAAGCTTTTCTGGATACAGAGCACTAACTACAGTGGGGAAGTAGCCCTAAAAAGTAAGTTCTGTCCAGACGACGTCTGGCTGGCCGTCGGCGGGCGAGCGAGGGACACACAACTGCCAGGTCTCCTGGCAAAGGATCAAGGTGGCCCAAACCAGACCACAGGCCAGTTGGAAACAGACCACTAGGCCTCCCCATGCAGCCAGGGTCCTCGGGGAGAGGTCTGCCAACTCCCCCCTCTCCCCGCGGGTGCAAGAACCAGCTGCTGATCCCGCTGCTTAGGAGGAAGGGCTGGGGGGAGGACAGCTTCCTGTCACTTGCCCGTCACATCATAAGCACCAAGAAAAGGTAAACAGGGGGTTTCTTCCCTGCAAATACTGAAATGTCATCGGGGATGGAGTAATAGAAAAGGAGAAGTCGGAAGGTGCGGTGAAGACACCGAGAACCTGCTGGAACACAGTGCGCAGGCATAGTTCCCTTCTACTGAAAACCCTGCTTTGAAATCTCCCCCCCTTCTGGGGGGGAGGGGGGCTGAGTGTGCAACCCAGTTACTCATGCTACAGAGGCAAGAGGCTCAGGGCTATCTAGCACTCAGCAAAGCTCAAAGATAGCCTGGGGTACCTGAGACCCTGTCTTTCTTCTTTTTGAGACAAGGTCTCTCTCTGTAGCCCTAGCTGTCCTGGAACTCACTATGTAGACCAGGATGGCCCTGCTTCGGCTCTGAGGGCTGTGATTATAGGTATGTCCCACTCCTCCTGGTGCAGAGATGTTGTCTTAAACAATTAAACAAACAGAAGCCAGGATGTGGCTCCGTAGGTGGAGTGCTTGTTGAACATACACAAAGCCCCTCGTTGGAACCTCAGCACCACATGAACCAGGCGTGCATGGTACAGCACACCTGTGACCCCAGGCATTGGAAGGTGGAGGCAGAGAGAGTTGAGGTCAGCCTGGGCTACATGACAACCCGTCTCAAAAATCTAGGGAGCAGCTCCCCCCCCCCACAATCTGGCTGTGGTGTCCCTGCAAGAGGCCCAGTAGTCAGGTTGTTTCTCTACTCCAAAGCACATGGGATTACCATCCTTTCCCCAAACCAGGGAAGAAACTGGGAGAAGATGAGCTTGGCTTCAGGTCACACTGGCCACCGAGGTTGGAGGCAGATCTGCCAGGCAGGTCTGGAGGATCTGGACACAGCTCCAGCCTCTGAGCCCCCCGCCCCCGCCCCCCGTCCTCACTCTCAGAGCACTGCCGCCCGCCCGCCCGCACAGCACACCTGTGTCCAGCAGAGGTGCGGCTGCCTCAGAGACGATGGAGGCGGGGAAGAAACACAGCACACGGGTGTAATCAAGGTCTTTTATCTTTGAAAATGGAAGCGAGTGTTTGACAGAGCGCTAGGGCCACTCTATAAGAGCGGACCTGGGAGCAGTTCACTGCCCTCTGGTGTCACGGCTTAAGAAGACGGCGACAAAACAGGGAAAAGGAACCCACCACGAGGGGCCAGGCGCCGACTCTGAGCCTGGCACACACTGTGGTCCCCGGCTTCTCCTCGTTCCTTCCTCTCTCTGAACCACCTTCCCTCTGGCGCTTCATCACCAGCGCCAACAACTGCTACGTAATTAATCCGACCAGACTCCAGAGCATTTCTGAATCTCGAAACAAAGGCCCCCAGCAGAACACACTGGTACACAGTGTCGGTGTGTCTGCAAGTCACTAATGTTTTCTTTACATCCCATCATCCACTTCGACATTAAAAACACAGGACACACACACAAACCACAAAGGTTCAGATGCCCTGGAGCTGTGGAGCGAGCAAGCCTGTGTGGGTGGCTGAGAGCCTTTTCCTATCACAGTGCCCAGTCAGTCCACACTCCAGGCAGCTACCACCACGCTCTGCCCGTCCTGATACCCTGTGGATCTGCCTGCATCCAGCACTGTGCCCACACCAGCACGAACACATGCCAAGGCCTGCCTTCCACCATCCCTAGGACGCTATCTGGTCGTCTGCCTTCACAAACATCAACACAAGGGTGTGAAATGGAGCTGAGCTCCAGCCGCCCTGGGAGGCAGGGACGGTTCAGCCTGTCTTCCGCAGGTCCAGGGAACTGCTGTGCCACACACAGCCATGGTCAACGCCGGGGAACAGCAGCCTGATTTGTGTGGCACAGTGGACCGTGCCTGTGCATGGGGAGCTACAGCCTGTCTCCACACCCCCTTTCTCCTTTTTTCTGGACTCTTCCCTCAGCCTCAATGTTCCAGAGCCCTCAGGTCACATCCTGTGGACTGATTAGGCCTGACAGGCAGTAGACAGATAGGACTGGCTAGGCGCCTGGGAAGAGGAGGCAGCAGAGAGAGGAGCAGAGGACCGCCAGGCAGAGGCTCTGCTCACAGCTCCTGGGTTCAAGCCCCACACCATGCCCAGAGGCCAGGTGAGCTGCTTCGATGGACAAGAACACTCAACACCTGTGCATCCCCTGGTCTTGGGTGCCCTTGTCCAATATGGACCAGAACCGAACCAAAATGCTGGAGGGGATGGACGCGACAGAGTCTGCGTGGAACAAAACTGCAGAAACGTGTGCTAGTTTGGGTTAGATTATAATCACGTGACGCATCAAGGCGCTAAATCCATCTGAACAACCACCCACTCCTAGGGGGAGAGAGGGGGGTGAGAGCTGTTTGATCGCAGACTCAGGGGAATGGAGGGTGGCGTGTGGGTCCTCAAGTCGTCCTGCTGGGCAGTCATTAGATGACCAGACTTGTGCTGTGAGTAAGCCAGCACCGTGTGGCCACACCGATTGTTCCTGTGAGACTATACAAAATAATCATCCCATCTTCCTTGAGTTTATAAACACACACAGTGCTGTCCCTTTCAAATTAAGGAGGAAGAGAACCCAAAAGAACCAACCACACAAATACTGCAAAGTAGCAAAATACAAAGAACAAAAGCTACTTTTGGTTTTGGCAACATTCAAAAGGAAGAAATACACAGAGCGAAGGTGGCACCGGCCCCACTCATCAAAAGGTGTGAGGGCGGGACACTGGGTCGGGTGGGTTTGTTTCTAAAATTCAGAACACCTGGCGTTTTAATGTAGTCAAGTTCAACAAGTCCCTGGGCCTGTCAAACACCCGCCAGCTTCCTGATAAAAGCTCAGCTTTCATTTTTCGCCAATCTGGGAGAGGAGTTGCGTTCCTGCTGGAATGTGGCCTATCGCTGGCGGACAGATCTGAAATGGAATGTCTCCAATGGCAGTGCCTCCCCGTCCGCCCTCCCTCGGAGGAGCCAACGAGCAGCCGCCGTCTGCGGAGGGGCCGGGCCTCAGGCCACCATCTTGGCCAGCTGCTGCTCTAACTTGGAAATGCGCTCGTCTTGACTGCAGATTGTGTCTTTTATGGATTTGATCTCTTTTAAAATCTCATCCAACTTGGCTTCGTTTTGCTAAGAAAACAAACAGAAAAAGGTGGTGACCGGGAGCATCAACAAAGTCTAACCGTGCAGAGGGGACCCTCAGCCCGGCATTTCCTCTGGGACAGCAAACCCCGACCCCACCAGGACAGCAGGACTTCCTGGGACAGCCTCAGCCTGGCTCCCAGTCCCCCCCTGCACACCTGGGTGCACAAAGCCTCCAGACCAGAGCACCTACAGCCCACAGCCCACTCACCCCTCTGCCTGTCAGTCCCGACACCCCCACCCCCACCCCCACCCCGCGTACTCAGTGGGAACCTTATGGCTCCAATCCTGGTGCTGGCTTCCTGTCAGGGCCCAGAGCACTAACCCACCAGTGCTGCAGGCACTCTGGTCCGCGTCCTGGACAGACGCCTGTCCTTTGCTGTGGTGGCAGTGCCCTCTGGTGGTAGGCCGGGCTGCCCCCAACCCCCATGGCTCTAGTCAAGGTCATCCTTACTGCTAGCCCCACAGGCACCACACCGCTGACACCCACACACACTCTTGCCTTCGCCTGCAACACTCCCTGTGACCTGAACTCCCATGATGCTTTACCAGGGAAAGGCACTTAGGAAAACCCCGCAGGGATCCTGTCCACTCTCAAGACAGCGAGCGCAGCAGGCATTTCCAAGCCAGTGCTGGCTAGCCGAGCAGACCAGAGTCACCAGTCCCCGGGCACTGCCTGGACCAGGGAGCTTTCCAGGGGACACAGGCCAAGCCCAGCCCCAGCACACACTCCTTACCACACTGGCCGTGTCTGTGGTCTTCTTGGGAGCACTGATGAGATCGCCCTTCTTGTTTGCGGCCGGCTTGCTGTCCAGGATGTTCTTCTTGACCACCTTGAGATCCCTGTTCTTGCCGGGAATGTAGCCGTGCTTCAGGGAGATGAGGACCGGGTCGGCGTTCTTCCCCTCGAACCACTCCTCTGCCTCCAGCGCCGCCTCCGGCCCCGCCGTGTCAGGGTACAGGTCGTCTTGGAAGAGGTCGGACTGCAACAGGCATTTGGGCAGCATCGGTGAGCGGGGGGCGGGGTTCTCCTGAGCTGCTCGTCTTTCTGCGTGCTGAGGACTATGTCCCGTGTGCGTGTGTGCGTGTGTGCGTGTGTGCGTGCGTGCATGCATGTGTGCATGTGTGCAGGGCAAGTGTTCCACCACGAGCTGTCTGTCTCACCCTTGACTCCCTCTCCTACCGTGTGGAGAGCGGGGATCACAGGCACGCGCCATCACACTGATCTGAGCTCTCTTTGGAAACACGAGTCACTTAAAAACTGGCTGCCTGGAGCTGGAGAGACTGATGGTGTGCTGACTAGTTTTATGTCGTTTTGGAAGAGGGAACCCCAACTGTGAAACGCCCCCACCAGAGCGCGCTGTGGGCAAGTCTACATACAGTGCATTTTCTCAGCTGACGGTTCATGTGGGGGGCACACTCACTGTGAGGGGAGCCACCCTGGGCAGGTGGTCCTGAGTGCTGTCAGAAAGCGGACTGAGCAGTCACAGAACAGACCAGCAAGCAGGGCTCCTCCATGGCTACTGCACCAATTCCTGCTCCAGGCTCCGACCCTGACACCGAGGTCAGCAATGGAGTGTGACTGGAGAGTTGTAAAGGTAAATAAAAGCTTTCTCCTCCAGCTGTTTACAGTCACGATGCTTTATCCCAGCAACAGAAACCATAACTGATGGGTGGCTCAGTGCTTATAGGCATTTGTGGTCTTGCAGTGGACCTAGGCCTGATTCCCAGCACCCACACGGCCCTGGAGTTCCAGGGGCTCTGACAGCGTCTTCGGATCTCAAGCATGAGGCAGGCACACAGACAGTGCAGACACACACGCAGGCAAAGCACCCACAACCAAACCCTCACCCCGGACACTTACCTTCCTGGGGACAGTCATGATGATAGGCTCACACTTCCTCTCATGGAGCTTGAAGAACCTTTGAGGAGAGATAAGGCAAAGCTGCAGTGAATGACATGTGAGTGACACTCACACACGACTCTCTGCGGTGCCCCCTGGCATCCCAGCCTCACGTCACTGACCACCGCATCTGCTGCCCAGGCCCAAGCATGCTGTGTGCTCCTGTTACAGGAGAAAACAGACTGAGCGCATCCACGCAGTGCAGACGGCAGGTGTGGGAGGCCTGGGAGAGGTGGCCGCAGCAATGCCAAGTGTCAGGTGCTGGTGGACGGCATAGCCAGGCCACGGTGACTCACCACGTCCCCAGACACGAGAGCACAGACTCACGGGAGGCAGCATCTGTGCCCTGGGTGCTGAGTCCTCTGCCAGTACGTGTACTGGACACGTGACACACGACCGGAACGTTTTTCTTTGGGTTCTCGTGTGTGTCTTGTGTTTCTACACACATGGCACACGTGTGGAGCTCAGGGGACAACTGCTGGTGCTGGTCTGCAGGCACCTTTCACTTGTCACTTTCACAGTCCACTATTATTTCTGTGTGTGTTAGTATGTGGGTGCGCGTGCACAGCACACATGTGCAGGGCAGAGGACAACCATGGAGCCGGCTCCCTCTTCCACTTCACAGTTCTCAGGGTCACTCTCGGGCCGGCAGGCCATGTGGCGAGCGTCTTCACCCACTAAGCATGCTGCTGGCCCTGCCTTCTACCTTTCGTGTGCGGCAGGCCCCACACTGGCCTGGCCACTGCCACACAGGCCAGCTGAGCTGACTCTGGAGCTTCTTTCCAGGGATCCGTGTCCTCCCACTTCTTCTCACTATTGCTGGGATTACAGGTGCGCACGCACCGCAGGGCATAAACATAGGTTCTGGAGACATAAGCTCAACTTACGCCCAAGAGACCAGAGCTTTAGCAACTGCATGTGCTGTGGAACAATCCTTTTCTACACTACGAGTATGTATTACTCTCATTGGCTAATAAAAAGGTGACAGGCCGGGCAGTGGTAGCGCCCGCCTTTAATCCCAGCACTTGGGAGGCAGAGGCAGGCAGATCTCTGTGAGTTCAAATCCAGCCTGGTCTACAGAGTGAGTTCCAAGACAGTCAGGACTACACAGAGAAACCCTGTTTTGAAAAACCAAACCAACCAACCAAACAAACAGAATTAAGAAAATAAGTAAATAAATAAGTGAGAAGCTGGCAGGCCAGAAGCTGGGCAGGAAAGCCAAACTCAGAATGGTAGGAAGAAGGAGGCAGTGAAGGAGACACCAGCCAGCCGCCCAGGAAGCAAGACGTGCTAGAGGACAGATGAAGCCACAAGCCACATGGTAATACACAGATGAACAGAAATGGGTTAATTTAAGTTGTAAGAACTAGTTAGTAACAAGCCTGAGCTATTGGCCGAGCATTTATAATTCATATTCAGCCTAAGTTGGTTATTTGGGACCAGGTGGTCAAGACAGGATTCGGGTCAGATTACAACCATCTACTCTTTTGGTCAGTTTTGTTTTTGTTTTTGAGACAGGGTTTCTCTGTGTAGCCCTGGCTGTCCTGAACTTACTCTGCAGACCAGGCTGGCCTCAAACTCAGAGATCCGCTTGACTCTGCCTCCCAAGTACTGGGATTAAAGGCGTGCACCACCACTGCCCAGCTTAATGTAACTTTTAAAAAAGAAGCCAGACACGATGGTGCAGGTCTGTAACTCTAGCACTTGGGAGATGAAGGCACAAGGCTCTTACCCACCTGCTACCAGGAAACACTGCCCACAGCAAGGACAGGTTACAAGCTATAATCAACTCCAAACACCCCAAGGTAGTCTTGGAGTCGGCCTGCTCTGTCATGAACAACTGGACACTTAGGGTTCAATTATTTACCTAGCGATCTCACATTTGTTGACATCAAGTCCCCGCTTAGACATGTAGCCCATCCCTCGCTGAGGCTCCTTGCTGCTGAATGTGTTGAGGTAGTGGACATATGGGGATTCGTCCGTGATTTCAAAATAGCGGATACTGCTGTCACCCTAAAAGAAACATTTTGTTTAAAAGGGTGGTACCCCACACCACCCCAGAATTCATGGGAGTCTAATTTCAGTAGCTGACCACTGCTCTCTCCAAAGACATTTGCCTAAAATAGAAAACATGTGTGTCTCCACCAAGGTAAGTCCTTCCTACTTAGAATCCTCTAGCATGTCCTTTCGAAGGCTCCTCTCCTAGGCCTAGAAAGCAGGTCAGGGCAAAAATGTCACTGGCCCACACAACTGCCCCAGCATAAGCTTCCAAGTCAAGCGAGCAGAGGATGAGGCTGAGAGCACAACCGCCTGCTTGTGTGTTCACTCCCTGGCCAGGGCAACAACCGACAACCCGAGGAAGATCAAAGTGTGTAAAACCCCACGGTCATCTCGTCTGGAGAGGTCAGCTATTTTTTTGGTAAGCTACCCAAGGCAGTGCTAGCTGGGCTAAGAACAAGTGAAATACGCCAGTGTGACCAACGACTACAACCTGGTCTGAAAGAGAACATGTGCACACGCGCACGCACACGCACACACCTCAGTTAGAAACATTTAAATACGTTAGTCACACTGGCTTCTAGGTCTCTGGAGGATGAGCCCTGCCTCTTCTAGGGTTGATGTCACGTCAGGCACCCGCTCCCGCTTACCTTCCCGCACAAGTAAATGATACTGGTGTCTGGGTCGTAGAAAGGCAGCAGCACCCCGTTGCTAGTGTCCATCTCATGAAGAGCAATTGGTTCCTGCATGTTTTTCTGAAAATAAATCCAAAAACAATATATAGACACGCGTAGGCACGTGTTTAAAAGACAAATTCTCGTAACCTTGTTATACATTCTTTGACAGAATCCATTTTCCCAGAGAATCTAGAGTCTGAACAACACAGGTATATCCTCACACACGTGACACCAGGGACCAACTCTCCGACAAGCGGGTTGGTCTGACCATGCACAATCAATGCACACAGCATGGCTCTACAATAAAGACAAAGAAGCCTTTCTCCTTTGCAGCTGTTTTCTAAAAAGATTTTTGTTTTTAAAGGCCAACCTGGTCCACACAGCGAGTTCCAGGCCAGCCAGGGCCATGTGGTGAGCCCCTGTGCATGAGTGCAGTTGCCTGCTGGGGCCAGAAGAGGGCATCAGAGCCCCTGGAACTGGTGTGAGCACAGGGGACACAGGTGCTGCAGCCAGCAAATGCTCTTGCCCGAGCCATCTGTCCAGCCACTCCTTACTAAAGGATGCACAGATAGAGAAAAGCGAAAGACTAGAGAAGCCACCCTGTACCCTGCAGCCCTGCTGCCACTGTGGCCGGCTTCCTTCGCACACTCAGTGTTCCACCCACGCAGCTGAGGGTGTGTAAACAGATTATCCAGCTCTGAACACTCCCCTAAGCAGACCGCTCAGTCTGCATGAACTCAACAACACAGAACTCACTTCCCAGATCCAGCAGGCGGTGGAATCCTCGGGAGCTTCATAAGTGCACGGCTAAGGTGTACTCACCCATGCTCTGCTGAGGACGAGAGCCTCCTGCTAACTCAGGGCAGCAATAGCTTCAAGACCACACTGAGAACAACCTAAGACCCTGCCAGCCCAAAGCCCCGCTCAGAACAAGGGAAAGCTGGGAAGGGGCCTACCGGGTTCCAGAGTGCCAACTGCCGCTCACTCATGCGGCTAAAGCCAGTAGTGAAGACATTGCCGTCGGCCAGGAAGATGGCGCGCATGGGCCGGGCTCCCTCGTGTGCTTTCTCCTTCTCCTGGGGAGGGAGCAGATGCAGATGGGATACAATCAGACAGCAACGTGGGAAGGCTGAGTGGGAAGCCCACACTGGGAGCCAGCGTCCCCCGCCCAAAAGCCCAGCAGGCCATTCCATGTTCCCTGAGCAGGACTCAAGGCCATGGTTAACCACCGCCCCCATATGAGGAGGAAGTGACACTCAGTGACCTGGTCACAGCAGCAAGCAGAGCCCCAGACAGACTGAGGAGCCCCGCTCCTACCACAGTCTGCTGCTGCCCCAGCCCACACGCCGCAGCCACAAAGCTCATGCAAGGCTCTGCCATACATGTTTCTCAAGAGGGTGGCCTGTCTCTTGCTGTCTCCAACATCACAGGACACAAGGAAAACTGTCCTAGCAATGTCTGGTGGATGAGAGTGGCTGAGGAGCCACCCCTGAAGATACTGGGTAGACAAACAGAGGGCTGGAAAGTCCCTGTGGTGCGTAAGCACCAGACATGATTGCTGCCCAGCCCTAGACGGCGCCGATAAACATCACCACATCTCAGGCAGCCTCAGAACACGGCTAAGGTGAGCTCTTGTTGGACTTCTCACCTGCAGCTGCAGCCCTGGCATGTACACCTTCAGGCAGGCTATGTGACTTTGTGGAAGCCCTGCTGGGTGGCAGAGGCCGGGCACTAAGCTGACGGCAGGGCCTGCTGCAGGTCTGCAGGGCAGCTGGACACTGTTCTGAGATGGCGTGGGTATCAACTAGGGAGCACCAGTGAGATCCCCAGACAGGTCACAGTTTGTCTGAGCTCACCCAGACCTGAAAACTCCTAAGGGCATCATGAGCTGTTCCGTACCCGTGGTACCAGCACTCAGGAGGCAGGGCCTGGCACATCTCTGTGAGTTCCAGGCTAGCCAGGGTTATACAGCGGGATTCTAACTGCCACGAAGGGACAGAGCTGAGCCAAGGCTGAAGTGACTGGAGAGAGGAGAGACTGGGCAGTCACCTCCCTGCTCATCTGGTGCCTGCACGCCACAAGGGCCCCGAGGTCTGACAGCAGCAGGCCTCGAAGCAGAGTCCGGTTATTGATCGGCTACCAGGGCTGTGCTGAGGCCACTCACCGCCACGATCTCCTGTTTCCTGGGGTCGATGACTCTCACTTTCTTGTCTTTGGACGCGGTACAAATGAGGCTACCGTTGCGGTTCCAGCTCACGTTGTAAATCATATCTGAATGCATATCGTCCAAGTTGATGAGGGCCTCCCCCGTGCCCACGTTCCAGATGATAATGGCGTTATCGCATCCTGCGCCAAGCAGATCGACCACAAGATGAGAAGGGCCCGCACAGCTTACCACAGAAAGCTGCAAGCCCCGCGGGACAGAAGGCGGGGAGGGAGGTGCGGGGGACAAGGGCCTCCCCAGCAGGAGGCCGGGGTGGCGGGTTTGTGTAAAGAAACACTTTTAAAGGAACACTGAAACCACCAGTCAACCTAAACGGAGCCACACGGAAGCCAAAGCCTCGCTGTTTCGAGTCAGCTGGACTAACGGAACCAGGGTTTCAAGTAAGTACCCTTTTCCAGAAAGGTAAATCAGAACGGACATCACTTCTGCTCCTCAGAACCTGGGCGGCACATGACTTCAGTTTGTGACGCTGTGAGCCAGGGTCCTTCCTGTCTGTGAAATCAGGGTAAATTACAGTACCGGAAGGGAGATGGGACTGGGCTATTGCTCACCGAGATCTTTATCTTTAAAAGGGGGAGGTGGGGCCAGAGTGATCTGTCCATGGTGAGAAGGCTAAAGTGAAATCACACTGACATGTGGAGGTAGAAACTGTTCCCCAGAGAGGCCTACAGTCCCCTAGATAGTCAGGCCCGTCCTTGCTTCGAAAGTATCTTCTAAGCCTGTGGTTCTCAACCTGTGGGTCTCAAACCCTTTGGCAAACCTCTATCTTCAAAATATTTATTTATGATTCATAACAGTAGCAAAATTACAGTTATGAAGTAGCAATGAAAATAGTCTTGTGGTTGGGGGGGTCACCACAGCATGAGAACTGTGTTAACGGGTCGCAGAGTTAGGAAGGCTGGGAACCGCTGCTCTAAGTGCTTAGAAGATACCTGAGAACCAAGAACTAGAGCAGGAACCTCGTGTTGAAACCTGTACAACAATATCAAGTGCTGCAGCTGATGTCTGGGTGAGAGCCCTGCCTTCCTGCAGCGGCTCCCCAGGAAGCCTGACCTCTGGGGAGGGCCAGCACAGGGTGCTCACACAGTCTGAAGGGACAGTCTCCTCTGCTTGCACAAGGCAAACAGGAAAACGGGGTACGCCTGCATGGTCCCAAGTAACCAGGGGACAGCAGGTCCCTTCCACCACGTGGCCCCTCGGCACTCGCTCTCTCCCTCTCTCTCCCTCTCCCTCTCCCTCTCCCCCTCTCTCTCTCTCCCTCTCCCTCTCTCTCTCTCTCTCCCCCCCCTCTCTCTCTCTCCCTCTCTCTCTCTCTCTCCCCTCTCTCCCTGGCTTTGGTCCCTAGATCATCAGAAGGGCTCAGGTGTGGTCAATCATGACTATAAAGGTTGATGCCTTACAGTGTCTTCTGTGAAGAGGCCTTTGGTTTCAGTAGGTACCTGGCATTAAAGTTTTAACTTCACTCACCACAAATAAACATCTCCTTGGTTAAAAACTGACCTGCCCAACTCAAAAGAATACATGTTTTAAAATAATCCAGTATGGATTAAGGTATAATTCATACATATCCATTACATACACCTAACGAAGGTTCTGACAAATGCCTATAACCAAGAAATAGCTTACTTCTGTCACCCCAAAAGCTTAACTACAGCCATCTATATTCCCGTGTGTGTGTGCATGTGCACCTGCACTGTATAGAGGCCAGGAATTTGCCACCGGCGAGGCTGGCCTGTCAAAGTTTTGTCCCAGGGGACTGTTTTCCCTCTGCCTCTCCAGCACTGGGACCACAAACCCTGGCACCACACCTGACCACAGCCGGCTTCCCTAACAAGGTGCAGACGCACTTTACTGAACAAGTCACCTCCCCAGCAGGCTAGCCTTGAACTTCTGCACCATCACATCCAGTTATGCATTGCTTTAGAAAAAGGAAGGAAAGGAGGCAGGCAGGCAGGGGTGCAGGGAGGGAGGGAGGGGAAGAAAAAAAAAATCTAAAATCTGGGCAAAGGCAAACATTCCTGTAAGCTGGACCTGGAAATCAGGCAAGAAGCCAGCAGAGATGAGGCTAGACACTCCCACACTCCACCCTGAGACAGAAGGAGCCAGGCTCCCTGCAGTGTAGACTAACTGAAGGGTCAGAAGCAGCACCAGTGTCCAGAGCTGGGGCTGAGCAGACAGACCGGGCTTTGCCAGCAGGAGTGAGGGACAGGTGTGTGGAAAGACCACAGGGCACCACACCAAGTGTACGAACCCACCCACACTGAGACAGTCCGCCACGCTCCTCGGTGCTCTGCTTCAGTGGACGCACACCTGTCACTCCCCCACACACAGGCGAGCCAGCCCGCTGGCGCCTACCTGCGCTAAGAAGCACGTTGCGGGCTGTCGGATGCCAGGCGACGATGCCAACTCTTTTCGAGTGACCTTCTAAAATCACCACAGGTTCGGTCAGGGAAAGGGTCAGTCCATTTTCTGGGATCTGCCAAACCTGTTGGAGAAGGAAGGAGATTATTGGTCTGAAAGCCACCTGTCACACTTCACTAGGTCACTGTGGCCACCCAGTGGCACTGGGGTAAAAGGCACAAGGAAGTGACAGTCTAAAAAATGGACATATATGGGTCTGGAGAGATGGCTCAGTGGTCAAGAGCACTGGCTGCTCTTCCAGAGGACCTGGGTTCCATTCCCAGCACCCACATGGTGGCTCACAGCCATCTATAGTGGGGTCTGGTGCCCTCTTCTGGCATGGAGGCTTACATGCAGACAGAACACTCATCCACATAAAACAAACAAGCAAATGGTTTTAAGGATGTGGCTATACTAAGGATGATAACCTTGTGTTTCTTCGTTTGGGACCTGCCAGCCGATGGGGTCCTCAGAAGCACAGGTTGTTCGTTCTGACTGAATCCTGTTCTCTTTTCTCTTCAAGTGAGATTTTCTTTCTGTAGTGTGGTAGAGGTATTTCCACCACTCCAGTGTGAAGCACAGAGCCTGTGTTTACACCATTCATCCAGCAGAGGGCTTCCTCGGTGCTTCTTTGGGGGGTCAGTCACTTTGTCCTCTTCTCTCCATAGCTCACCTGCTACCCACTGTGTAGTTTAACTATCATATACTAAAGGTCATGGGGGTCACCACGTCCAGGCTCACATTCCTTTCTGAAATGGTGAAACTATTCTAAAGTCTATGTTGGTGGCTGTATGGATTCATGAACATATTAAAAATCACTGAGCCAGGCCTGGTGGCACCACCTTTAATCCCAGCACTCAGAGAAACCCTGTCTTGAAAAACCAAAAAAGAAAAAAGAAAAATCACTGAATTGGATTCCCCCCCCCCCACACACACACACACTTCCCCATCTGAGACAGGGTTTCTCTGTGTAGCCCTGGCTGACCTGGAACTTGCTCTGTAGACCAGGCTGGCCTCAAACTCACAGAGATCCACCTGCCTCTGCCTCCAATGTGCTGGGATTAAAGGAGCATGATATGCCTGGCGGTGGTGGTGCATGCCTTTAATTCCAGCACTCAGGAGGCAGAGCCAGGCAGATCTCTGTGAGTTCGAGGCCAGCCTGGTCTACAGAGCGAGTTCCAGGAAAGGCGCAAAGCTACACAGAGAAACCGTCTCGGAAAAAAAAAAAAAAAAAAAAGGTGCACAATATCACTGCCTGGTTGCATTGCACATTTTAAATGAGCAAATTCTGTATAAACTATATCTTTAAAAGAAACCTTATTTGCAGCTGCTGCCGTTGTGTGTGTGTACGCATGCGTGCATGCATGCCAGCTATGGTGCATGTGGAGGTCAGAGGACACCTTTCTAGAGTTGCTTCTTTTCTTCCACCTTGTGTGGGTTCCAGGGACTGAACTCACATCATTAGGCTCACATGGCAAGTGCCGTTCGTTACCTGCTGAGCTATCCTGTTGGCCCCATTAATTATATTGTAACAAGATATACGTTTAAAAAAAAAAAAAAAAAAAACAAAAAAAAAAACAACCCTCTGGGTGCTGGAGCCGGCCCTGTGAGTGAGAGTGCTAGCCAGCAGGGGAATCTTGAGTTTGGGCCAGGCATGACTGGGCAGGCCTAGAATTCCAGGATTGGTCGGGGTGGGGCATGGAGAAGAGGACTCTGAGAGCTCATGGGCCAGTCACTTGGCCCCGACACACCTGTGAGCTCTGACTCAGTGAGGACACTGAGTCAGAAGGTGGTGACATGGACAGCAACAGAAGAGGGCGCCTGCGTTCTTGCCCTGGTCAACAGTACTGGGCAAAGTGTCTTCACTACACACAGGCACACATACCCACACCCACTGGCTGACCGTCACAGGTAGAGGAGGAGGAGGGACGCAGCAGAGAGAGAGAGAAGACTCGATGTAAAACAGGAAGGGAGGGAGCTCTGTCCTGTTTTAGAGTCTTGCTATGTAGCCCAGCCTGGCATCAAATTCCAAACCATCCTCCCCACCTGAGCCTCCGAGTGCCAAGGTCACAAGCCTGAGCCACAGGACAGCAGGTGAAGAAGGAGGTTTAAAGCCCAGGAGAGCACTGTCAGAGGGCATCTACTCCATCAGAGTGAAGTTTGGAGCGCTGATCCTTTCAAAACCCAGATGCTCTGAGAGCAGCCTGCACTCTCCTGGCCAGCCATCTCTGCAGCCACCTCGAATTTACAGTGAAGACTGAAAGGAGCAAACTTACCATCCTGAAAAGACTTGGAGGGCACAGTTCAGGAAAGCTGGAGCTTTTAGGGACACTTTACATTTGCAGTGGAGCAAGTGTGAGGAAGGGTGGCCTTAGGGACAGACAACTGTCTGGTTTCAGTTGTGTGGCACCAGGAGAGAGCTGGGGTAGGTGAGTGTATGAAGTTCAGCTCAGCTGCTGCCTTACAAAAATGCCAACAACAGTTTGCCACCCTGGAAGATGAGCAAATGTAGTGGGTGATTCACTCACTGTCATAGCTGGTTCCACTCATAAACATAACCTCTCCTGGAGATCACAGGAAAATAAACCAACCCCTTGAGGCTCAAGCCTAGAGGTCACCTAATGTTCTACCCCGGCTCCCACCACTTAGCCAAGCTTACGCAGGCAGCTGAGGCCCGCAGAGAAGGCAGGGTAACAGCATGCCTCGCCTCACCCCTCCCTGGCCAGACAGGTCTGCTCCTTTGGGGTGTGGGGGCAACTGTTTACTCTCCAGTAGGACAGTGTGCTTTCGTTCTAATACACAATTTTTATTTTAATAAAACTAAAAGGTTTATGATTAGCCAAACAGCTCTGGGTTGAACCTGGTCGTCTGAGTGTAATCAGGATTGGAACCGTTAACAGAACACACAGGAAACAATGGTTGTTACTTGAATGAAAGCATGAAGTTGGCAGAGACAGACATGAAAACTGGTTATTCAAAGGGTACTCATTTTTTCAAGATGAATCTGACCCAAGCTTCTAAGTAATTGCAAGTGTGGTCACACCATGTACTAGCTCCAGATGGCACCCTCGCCTCAGCCTGCTGGGATTCCCAGGGTCTGCAGCAGTGAGCTTCATAAATCCTGATGCATGGCAGGCTCTGGGTATCACTAGCATTTCCACCCTGGCATACAGGAGCGGCCAGGTTCAGCATGGGCCTTCGCTCTCTCCACTTCTCCTTCACCATCTCTTGCTTGAGTGGAGAGGAGATGTCAACAATGAAAACAAAACGTCAGTTATATGACAGAGTCTTAAAGCTGTCTGCACTGGACTTTGGGCAGACTCATGGCTCTCCACCAGGCAGGATATGCACTAGACCAGGCACCTTTTACTCCCGGTCCACACACATGCAGCATTTACTGAGGAGCCACCACAAAGCAGGTCTGGTACCGATGATTTCATGGGCCCCACTCTAGGATTCAATGGCTGAACAGGAAACTGAGCTTTCCAATGGACAGACAACCAGAGACAGCAAACGGAAGTGGTAGGATACGGAAGTCGCTGGAGCTAGATAGATGAGTTCAAATCACATGAACATGCTACAAATGTAGACTGCCCACCACAGTGGGCTCCAGCTGGACTGAGGGTGTCCACTAACGTGACCCTGAGGTTTGCACTGACCCAGGGTGATGGTGGAGGGTGGGTATGGTGACATTTAGGATGATGCAGAAACGCTGTAACATCGGTTCGTCCCTCACATCATTCACAGAGCCCAGTGTGACCGGTGCTGTGCTGCCATAAGTAGGTGCTGACTGCAAATGCAAGCGTCACCAGTACCACACAAGCTGGTCCATCCAGGAGCTGCTGAAGAGATGACCTCCAAGAATGAAAAGGAGCAGGCGAACGGGAAGAACAAAGGAGATCAAGTGGCCAGTTCCAAAAGAAACAGCACAAATGCACACAGCAGTTTTCTAAAAAGCATCTAAACAATGCCCTGGAGAGGCTGGCCGAGGGCCGGCAGAGAAAGGAGCTAGTCAAGACGGTAATGGCACAGGCTGTCAGCTGAGGAGTGTCTGGGAAAGTCTGGGAAACAAAATGCAACGGCACCGGGACCAGTGCCTTGATGAGAATAAACACTGCTCTCGCCGTGCACTGTGGGAAAGAGCTGCGTGTCTTCCCACACTCAGCACACCCTCTGGCTGGCGCTGCAGGCCCTGCTCACGGCTGTCATTATCTGGCTCTCTGCCCAGAGGGTGCCTGCTACTTCTGGTAATGGCCTGTCAATGTGGAGTGAAGGTCTTGCTTCCCGGGGACAAAGAGCATAAGTGCCACTCTATGCCTGAGTCTTACGCACAAGCTGGCGCTCTGGCCTGGGCCTCTGGGGCTAGGATACTAATTAGCCATGTTAGCACTAAACTCTTCGCTGCTGGGAGCCAAACTCCTTGTTTATCCTGAGGGAGCATGGGCTGTGCTTACAGAGGGTTCTGGAAAGGTCAACTGAGCTGAGGCTCTGCACAGTATTACCCTAATAGGAAACTGCTCATGGGGAGGGACAATGGCTCTGGAGCTGGAAAGCCTGTGTCCTGGACACTGCCCTCCTCAGCTTCTGACACCTCAGACAAAGCGTGCTCATGTGAGCCTGAGTTTCCATGTCACATGACGGGTGCGGTCCCTGCCTCCCCTATGCCAGCCACTTCAGTGATCGAACACAAGCATGTACATCGACCCGCCATGCACAAGGCACTTGCGGCGGTTCCTGACCGCACCTCTTCCCTCCTGTGGCCACACACACTTTTAGGTTTGAACACTGGGACTTCTGAAAGGAATCTTGTCTTAAACTGAACTAACTGGTGCCCACTTACACCCAACATGCCCTGCGTGTGAAAGCCCTGGTTTATGCCCGGGACACTTAGTGCTGATGCTGTCTGGCAGGCTGGTGAGCTGTTCTCTGCTGTGTCTACAGACTGGTACCCCAACACCAACCTGCTTTCTCACAAACATTGAGTGAGCTGGGAGGCAAACAGCAGAAATATCTTCCACAGAGGGTGCCTCAGCACATCATGGACAAGTCACCACCCAACTATTAAAAGGAAAACACAAACAAAAG